TCCAGGTGTTTCTTGTCGTGGCATTGGGTCTTTCGGTTTCATTATCTGACGTCTTATGGTTACCTCTGGCCTGTGTGCGACTCCAAATCCAAGTGATCAGTGTTGATGGAGCCAAAGCTGTTATTGCCGAGGAGCCGCCGGACTTGCCTCATGGCGAACATTGTGCTGATCCCCTACCCCGTGTTTCCCCACCTCCGCTAGCTCCTGCTCCACCTTCCCTACCCGTTCTTACCCCCACCATCCCCGATCCTGACTCTTCTGATGTCATTGACATTCACACTTCGTGTAGTGGTCGGCGAGTCCATTTTCCCGATCTTTTTATAACTCAGGTGTTTTAACACTGCATTTACCTTCAGCATCGCTATACGCTAGCCTTCGGTCTAGGCGGGGGATACTGTGGTAGACCTTTGCCATACTTGTATTTATTCACAATTTTGTCGTACTTTTATTTGCACACAACGTCCTAGACTGATCCTATTTGTTGCGCATTTCTGTAATTTGCATTTATCGTTTTTTGTTTAAGTTGGTATATGAACTGTTGCGCACTACACTTCAACTGGTTTGAATTACGTTATCAACAGCGGACATCTTAATCCTGTTGTTCTTCATTAGACAGTGTAGGGAATCAATTTCCGCATATCCAGGTTGTCGAGCTCGGCTTGTCTTGATGTGTTCCTAACGTGGGGTTGCATCGTTGGTCGTTTGCTCGCGCTAAAAGTGCACTTGTTTGTGTATTTGTTTACTTTCAGGCCACGTTCTATAATTGCAAGTGCACAGTAGAGTGGCAGGATATGTACTATGATTTGCGCAAACTGGTAATCTTCTGCCCGTTCCATTTCCAGTTGCTGTATTCGTAAATAAAATTTATTGAACAACTTTTGCTTAAGGCATGACAGAGTAACGTGACGGCATAGCGAAGTTGTTCATTTATATGCTTGTAGACGGTCCTTAGTTTCGGTGTAGTAAAACGAGCTACAGCCTCACAAGTTTATTACTTTCTTTAATGTCAAGAAACGTATCGGATTTGCAAAACAGAATTTTGTATAGTGAATTCCTTCTTCTTTTTCCGAAAACATTGCCAATTCTCGTACTTGCATTTACTTGATTTTCATGAAGGCAAGACGAAACTTTCTGTTATCTGAAAAAACACATTTAAACCTTTTCTAGTTGGTATTAATTTTCTTCAATAGTATAACACGCGTAAACAAGACAATTTGATCCATGGCGTTTACTAAAAATCGTATCTGTCCATTTCGTAATGTTGCTTATAAAGTATGCAACATGACCCACATACACTGCCAGAGTTTGTGAACACTGTCTAACTTCTTCCTCATAGCGTACAGTAGTGTGTGATTTTCCTTACACCTAAATTATACGGCATGGATGGGTCAAGGAGGAAGCTGGTTGAGCAGCGGAACAGTTTGTTTATTGTCCTGAGCTTTCAAACTCGTACAAGAGTTCATCCTCAGAGGTAACAGTGGCAACCAAATAGGCGACAATTACAAGGGGTGCAAGCTAATAAACTATCAGTGGCGCAAGGCTAGAGCGTACCATATCCTCTGTGGTGTTTCTATTTGGGTCTTCCGAGGCCGAAGGCGAGGTATCGGCCTATAAACGCTTTCAAATATCCACCCGGCATAAATTGGTCGCAGACGTATCGGGCCTCGTGTACCTTTACCTCCGGCTTGCTGCAGTGGGTTTGGATCCATTTGAAGAGCGTCCTCAAGCAGCTTATTTTTTGCAGTGGTGTATTACATCCTATGCCTAGGCTGTCCGTGTAATTACATGGGTTAAACTGAAAGCATGCTCGGATCAAGCACACATAAACATAAGCTGGTTGTGCTACGAGGCGATGAATTACCGCAAGTTGCTACCCACACCTACGAAACGGATCCTGAGTTCAACGGCGAAGTCGTCAAGCTACTCGCCCACGCCGAGTATTGGTTGAAGCCTGGTTCACGTATAGGAGCCCCATCTATCGATGTATCGATTTAGTGCCGACGTAGAGAGCTCCGCACAGTCCCCACCAGTCGTGCATCACTGATAGGTGATTGGTTTATACCCCCAATAATTAGCCCTTCTTTTTGCTGCTGTTACCTCTGACGACGAACCGCTGTACGAATTTTAAAGCCTAGAACAATAAACAAACTTTTACGGTGCTTGACCAACATTCTCCTTTACTCATGCAAACACCTAGAAGTCGAATCTTCGCAAGTATTCGCCATACAACGGGTACTTTGGAAATCCTGAATACAAGTTGATGACAAGTCGGATTCAAAAATCGAAACAGACACCCTGCAGTATAAACTTTGAAGAAGACTTAATTTGCTACCAAATTAATAGTAGAAAGAATAGTTTGCTGTGTGTTTTCCATAAAACAAACTTCAGCCTATAAGGACACGACAAATCAATGACAAAAATGCATACTACCTAAGTAGTCATTTTTGCAGAGTGTAGTTTCTGTAGGCGACTGGAAGGAAGCTAATTCAAAAACCGGTATTCCCTGACGTGCCTGAAATGTCTTGGGATTAGGCCGCACGATAAATGACCTTATAACGCTGGGTAAGTAATGTTCTCGAAAGGAAAAGGCATTTCAGGATTTTGCTTAACATTTAATGAGATAGCAAATACACTGTATGCCGGAACCTGGTTTATGTGCACCGCTTTGCCTGCCTAATGCGTCGCCAATGCCGACTACGGAGCGACCATTACAAATCGTGTCTGGCATCCAGTTCTAGTACCGAGTAGTGTTCACCCCACCGGCGATTCCGACTGCATCGAAATTAAGCTATCAGCCTTCATGGTCTGGCATCTCAATAGTTAGTGTTAGACTTCTGGTGAAAAAGTCGCAGGTTCGAGCCTCGGGTGGGGCCTCAA